CTGACCCTGGTGTTGGCGCTGGAGGTGCTGGAGCCACTGGTCCTGGAGGTGCTCGTACTGGCGGTACTGGAGCTGCTGGGACTGGGGGTGCTACTGGAGCTGCTGCAGGGGCTGGAGCTGGAGGTGCTGACGCTCGTCCTCCTCCTGGTGCTGGAGCCGACGGTGCGGCTGGAGCTGGTGCTGCTGGGGATACCGGTGTTGGCGCTACTGGAGCTGCTGGTGGTGCTGCAGGAGTTGGAGCTGTTGCTGGAGGTTCTGGTGCTGCCTCTGCTGGTTCTGGGGGCACTGCTCGGCCGCGGCCGTACTTCGTTCCCCTCCTTCAGCAGGTTCTTGGTCAGCTGCCTCCTCCTTGTCTTGCTCCCTCCTTAGAGTGTCCTCCGCCTGTCCAGTCGCAGTCACAGTTACCGCCTGCCTCGCCACTCCCTGGTCCTTCTCCCTACACTGGTCCGACAGGAGGTCTTACGGAGCGTCGTGAGCCTGAGTCTCGTCCTGTGTCGCCTGAGTCTCGTTCTGCGTCACCTGTTCGTGCTGCTCGCACTGGTCGTCGTGTCCTGCGTCAGCGTCCTCCTGCTGTCCCAGGCACTCACCAGATGACGCTTCGTCCTTCCACTGCTCCACAGCGTGTCCCTCTGCCTTCTCCTCCTGCGTCCTCCCTTCCTGCCCTTGCTGACCCGGAGTCTGACACTCTTCGTGCTGCTAGTCCTACTGTCACGCGTCTCCTGGCCACTGCTGTCACTGACCCTTCCTTTGAGTCAGCTGATGCGTCTGCTTTAGTTGCTGAGCTTGTCGACTTTGCTGCTCACTGTCGTCTAGACTACGCTGCCAGTCTTGTTGCTGAGTCTGAGTCTGTCTGTCCTCCGTCCGTCGGGGGTGAGTGTGCTCTTGGCACGGACGTCCTTGAGGACAGGCAGGAGGAGTTTGAGTGCTTTGCTGCTGCTGTACCTCATCTTGTGGCCATGCTGCTTGCCCCTGAGGGAGACCCGGATGCACCAGACATCCCGACCCCGCGCTCTTACGCTGAGGCGATCGCGGGTGAGTACTCCTCTCAGTGGCAGTCAGCCATGGACGCAGAGATGGCATCCTGGAAGTCCACTGGCACTTACGTCGACGAGGTTCCCCCTCCTGGGGCGAACATCGTCAGTGGCATGTGGATTTTCAGGGTGAAGCGGCCGCCAGGTTCTCCGCTGTCTTCAAGGCTCGGTACGTTGCTCGAAGCTTCAGTCAGCGAGAGGGAGTAGACTTCTTCCAGACCTTCTCCCCCACCCCGAAGATGACCACTCTTCGGGTGCTGCTGCACGTTGCCGCTCAGCGTGACTACGAGCTTCACTCTCTTGACTTCAGCACAGCTTTCTTGTAGGGCAGCCTGCACGAGGAGATCTGGCTGCGCCGCCCTCCTGGCTTCACTGGGTCGTTCCCTCCTGGTACCCAGTGGAGCCTCCGGCGGCCGGTCTACGGTCTCCGCCAGGCGCCACGTGAGTGGCACGACACACTGAGGACTACACTTGGGTTCGCGCCTTCTACTGCTGACCCGTCGCTGTTTCTGCGCACCGACACCTCGCTGCCGCCGTTCTACATCCTCGTGTACGTCGACGACTTGGTCTTTGCCACTGCTGACACTGAGGCTCTCGCCCACGTGAAGTCGGAGCTGCAGAAGAGACACACGTGCACAGACCTGGGTGAACTGCGCAGCTACCTTGGCTTGCAGATCACCCGGGACAGAGCACGCCGCACCATCACACTGACTCAGTCACACATGGTGCAGCAGGTCCTTCAGCGCTTCGGCTTCACCTGGTCCTCGGCACAGGCCACTCCTCTGGCTACAGGTCACTCGCTCTCAGCTCCACCTTCGGACGAGTCCGTAGAGCCGAGTGGTCCTTACCCAGAGCTAGTTGGCTGCCTCATGTACCTGATGACTTGCACTCGTCCTGACCTCGCGTACCCTCTTGGTCTGCTGGCTCGCTACGTGCCTCCTGGTCGGCACGGACCTGAGCACATGGCTGCCGCTAAGAGGGTACTGCGCTACTTGTGCAGCACATCAGGCATGGGTCTAGTGCTTGGAGGGAAGAGCCCAGTTGTCCTCACTGGGCACTCAGACGCTTCTTGGGTTGACGACCAGGCTACTCAGCGGTCGTCACAGGGTTACACCTTCAGCCTTGGCTCTGGTTCAGTTTCGTGGCGTTCTACACGCTCGTCTTCAGTTCTTAGCTCCAGTTGTGAGGCTGAGATCTACGCCACAGCCATGGCTGCACAGGAGTTACGCTGGCTCACCTACCTGCTGACCGACTTGGGAGAGCGGCCTCGTTCCCCTCCAGTGCTGTACGTCGACAACAAGGCTACCATTGCCTTGTGTGAGGAGCACAGACTGGAGCACAGAACGAAGCACATCGCTCTGCGTTACTTCCTAGCTCGAGAGTTGCAGCGGCGTGGTCAGCTTCGTCTGCGTTACGTGGCCACTCGGGCCAACACTGCTGATATATTCACCAAGGCACTTCAGGCTGGTGATCATCAGCGTTTCTGCACTATGCTGGGGCTTGTGCCCACTTTTCCTCACTTGCTGTAGGCTTTGCTTGTACTGTGATCTATATATTTATACCTGCATGTTTGCATTGCTAGGTAGAGATCACTGTACTGTTTTTGCTGCATATATACCTCTGCATGTGGACTGGCCTTGTGGCCCTTTGCCTGTGCTCAGAGTGTGTGGTGACGTTGTGATCCACCCTGAGCTTGCTTTGCCTTTCTTGACTGGTCTTGTGACCTCTTGCTCTCCCCCACTTTGCCTATGGGGGTGTGTCAAACATATATATGTTATATGTTGCAGTTATTGGTAGGCTGTAGTGGGGTAGATTCTGTGGGGTATAACCCCTTAGGGTTTTCCTACTTGTAGAACTCTCTCGATAGTTGAACTCATCATTCTCATTCTAACAGTTCCTGTGTTGACGAAGGTAATTGTTCAACTTTCGTGTTGATCCTGCAGTGGCCGACGACAAGAAAGTCGCTGTAAATCTTGTGTAGCTTGGGGTAGCGGATGGTTCCTGGTTCCAGCAGCGAAATGGGCTGATGACTCAGCGCAGCTTCGGGGCATATATTGTAGTTGCGTGGCTGTGATGTCGTCGTGAGCTCAGTGCCGTTAGGGCGCAAGAGTGCGCCAGACGCGAAGACGCTTGTCTCGATGCAGTTGTTTAGTGTCGTGCGTGAGGGGTGACCGAGGCGCTGATGCCACAGGTTGTCTGTTGCGCGGAGTCAAGAGGTGCGCAAGTAGCGTGCGTGTACCGTTTTAGGGTCTTCTTCAGATGCTAGAGTAGGATCTGCTGGCGCTTTTTGTTCTGCTTCTTCGTTTGTCGTTGTCAGGATTAGCGCAAGGAATTCTTTGTCAGGAATTGCGGAGAGGAGAATGTTGGTCCCTGGGATTGTTTCAAGGACGAAAGTAGGTTCACGCGGCTCGAGAACGGGTTCGTAGACTGTACTTCGTGGGTTTGAGGACTCATTACTCCAGTCGATGGTGTCCCACGGGTCTCGATGCGATGGTATGTCGTCGGGAGGAGGTGCAAGTGCAGGAAGGCACGGAGGGCGACCGAGAGGAACAACAAGTGGTGCAATTTTTGCTTCCGTTCCCCCCCTTTGTTCTTCTCGTGAAGCTCCCCATCCTTTGCAAGAGGTACCCTAGACGTTTGTATCGCCCCCAGTTGCGGTGCCCCATCCGCCAGTGTCGCTCGTTCCCCAACCGCCAGTGCTGCCCCACCCCCCTTCATTGGAGGCGCTTTCCTCTTCTATGCCCCATGCACTGCACGCGATTGTCCCGCGCGCCTCAGTAACATTTCTCATTTAACTATTCTTAAGAGAAGGCTCGCTATGTGAGGACAACTATAGAGTTAGATAATTGCTGTACTCTCAATATTCAATATCGTAATTTAACATTCCTTAGGGCTTGTAGTGAGGAACGTGGCTGTTTTATGAGGTGCAGTGGTTGAAAGAACGACAAGCGCGAATGCTGTGCCGCACAGACAATCTCGATTTCACGTGTACGTTCGTTGAACCTCGACGAACAGGTGCTTGCGATACTGACGATTTCTCACCCTGTTTTCGCTTTCGTCGTTAACGGCCGACTGGAACATCGCGCACGCATTGCCTTGGTCGCAACTATGCTTTGCTGAAAGAGGGTAACAAGCGGGGCGAGACATGGTGCTCCCGTGCCATCCCAACCCTGCACTACACGTGTTGTGTGGTGGTGGGGAGGGGATAGTGAAGAGTTGGACCAGTGCAGGTCTCTTCAATCAGCCTTGGCTGCTGCATTGCCGCATTTCTGCATTGCGCTTCGACTGAAGCGAGAGCCCGCAACTGTGTGGTAGCAGTGTGCTGGACTCGAATTTCGCGTGCGCGACTGATTCGCGTGTCGCGGGCCCCGCGGTCCGCATCGTCCGGCGCTATGGCGTCACCACCATCGCAGGAGTCGACATCTCACGGCCAGGACGAAGTAATATATTTAGTAGATTCCTTGATCACAGAACGTACGAGCCACCACTGGTGCATAAGCCATCGTCCGTCCAGCAGCACCGATTTAGCGCCTTCAACCCCCCCGACCGCATCTGACCTTCACGGCACACGCCTCACCGCACCCACGCGCTTCGCGTGCCGTCTCCTCTCGTCAACCCGCCAAACACGTTCCTCCTGTCATCCCCGGCGCCGCACTCCGAGCGCGTCTCATCCCCGCCGCCATGGCGTCGGCGGCCTTCCCCGCGCTCTCCTCCACTGTGGCTCCCGCGCCCTCCGCCCTTTGGTCCGCCAACCTCACCGTGAGTTTCCCACCGCCATGGCGTCGGCGCGTGCCACGCTTGTGCTCTCCGCTTCTCCCATCTCCGCGCGCTTTCCGCCGTGCCCTCTCAAACTCGGAGGCTGCTCCTGCGGCGGCTCGGCGCATCTCCTATTTCGTCTTCCCCCGTTCCCGTGCTTTCTCCACCCCTCTCCCCTCATCCTGCCGAACTCCCCCCTTCCCCCGATCCCAGGCGCCGTATCCGACGAACGCGCCGTGGCAGAACATGGTGCTGGGGCAGGGCGGCAACCCCGAGCTCGTGACGCCGTACCTCGTGCAGAGCGCGGAGGGGCGCATCGCGTGGGGGCTGCCGGTGCGCGACCCGCAACCCGGGTACATCGTGCAGGCGTTCGTCACCGCGCTCATGCTCTCCACGCTGCAGGGCCTTCCCCCCCACCAGCTCTCCGCCTACGACGACCTCTCCGCCACCCTCTCCTTCCGCCAACCCTCCTCCGCGCCCGCCGATCCCTCCATCCTCGAGGTCCCCCTGGTGCGCGGGTCCCCCTTCCTCACGCTCATATTCCCCCCGGGCGGCCCCCCCGCGACGCCCGTGCTGACGACAATCCATGGCATCACGGGAGTGGAGGGCAGCAGCGACAGCAGCAAGTACCGTGTTGCGCTCAACAACGGCCAGGTCAGTCCGCAGCGCCAACCGCACCCCTTTGCCGCCCAGCGACTGCCGCCGTACCAGGCCCATTTGCTGTCTCACTCGCCCATGGTTCCTACTACTATCCCCCCCTCCCGCTTGCTTACTCTCCGGACTCACCACCTCCGTCCCCTCGTTTCCCCCCCAATCCTCTTCCCCTACACCAGACATGGCTGGTGTACCTGTCGGCGCCGCTAACCCTGAGGCAGGACGGGTCGACGCTGGCAGCGGACGTGCCGTTCACGGGGACGATGCGCGTGGCGCTGCTGCCGGGCTCCTCCCCGCAGGACGAGGAGGCGCTGCTGGACGCGCACGTGCCCACGGTGCCGCTGGGGGGGAGTGCGCACGTGGGCGCGTTCCGCATCAAGTACACCTGGCGCACCCAGCAGTGGCGCGAGCCGGCCAATGGCGACACCGAGGCGCCGCTGCTCATGCTTTCACTGCCAAGTGAGTAGGGGCGTGCTGTGACTGTGTTGCCATGTCACCTGGAATGCCGTCACAAGGCGTCATCGGGTTATGAGGGCAATCGTCCATCACCCTCGCCATCTGCCCATCAAACTAAACCCCCTATCCCCTGTTCCTCCCCACCGTCGGCCCATTCTCCCCCATGAGCAGTGCACCGGCGCATGGAGGTGAGCGCGCACAGCCCCTCCTCTGCCTCCGCCCTCCGCCGTCACCGCAGCGGCTCCCCTTCCGGCGCCATGGGCGCCCTGCGCGGCTACCACAACTCCGCGTCTGCCAGCCCCTCTATCACACGCGGCAATGCACCGTGGGCGTCCGTGGGAGATGAGTCGGTGCCCGATGCGTCAGTGCTGGTCTACCCCACCATCGACGGCCACGCGGTGGCCATGCAGGGGGCGCTGTGGCGCCTCAAGGTTCCCAAGCGGCCGTCCACGTGGCGCGCAGGGCCACTCTCGTCCGACCCCCAGCTGCTGGACGAGCTGAGGGCCAGCCTCAAGCAGGACGTGGCGGCGCTGCCGCCCCTCTCCTCCCCCTCCACCTACTCCTTCGGCAAGACAGCGGCGCGTGCCGCCCGCCTGGCGCTGATCGCAAAGCAGGTGCGCGATGAGGACAGCCTGGCCGCCGTGCTGCCGCCCCTGCGGACGGCGCTCTCCGCATGGCTGGACGGCACCTTCTCCGGTAACCGCCTGCTGTACGACCCCACGTGGGGCGGCGTGGTGAGTGAGGCGGGGTCGCGTGACCAGGGGGCGGAGTTTGGAGCGGGCATGTACAACGACCACCACTTCCACTACGGCTACTTCATCTATGCCGCTGCCACCGTCGCCAAGTTTGACCCCGCGTGGCGCGACCAGTACCGTGCGCCGCTCAAGGACCTGATGGCGGACTACATGTCAGCGGAGCGCACCGCGGCGTTCCCCAGGCTGCGGCACTTTGACGCGTACGCGCTGCACTCGTGGGCCAGCGGGCTGTTTGAATTCGGCGACGGGCGCAACCAGGAGAGCTTCAGCGAGGCGGCCAACGCGTACTACGCGGCGGCGCTGCTGGCGTCCGTGTTGGGCGACCAGCCGCTCGCCACGCTGGGCGCCACGCTGGCCGCCGTGGAGGCCCTCGCCGGCCAGACCCTCATGCACGTGCCGCTCGCCTCGTCTAATCCGGATCCGTCCCTCTCACCCGGCTACGAGGCGGTGTTTGCGGACGGCAACCGCGTGGTGGGTGTGCTGTGGTCCACCAAGCGTGACGCCGCGCTGTGGTTCGCCCCGCCTGCGGACATGGAGAAGCGCGTGGGCATCCAGGTGCTGCCCGTCTCGCCCTTCCTCACCCACCTCTTCCCGGACCACGAGTTTGCCAAGCAGCTCGTGGAGTGGGCGCAACCCGTGCTGACTGGCGCCGCCACGGACGAGTGGCGCGGCTTTGCGTGGGCGCTGCAGGCTCTGTACGACCCGCATCTCGCCCCTCTCAACCCAACTTCCGCTCCCATTCCCTTCCCTCTCCCCTCATTACCTTCCAATGTATACGGCCTCATCACTTTGTGGTTGCTTGACCACGTTTCTTGAGATGACTGGAAGACATATCATGACAGATGGGCGGAAAAAGTAAAGGAGAACATGAAAGGTGAGCAGAATGAAGGGGTTGTGGTTACATCATCCCATACATCATCCCATACATCATCCCATACATCATCCCATACCTCATCCCATACATCATCCCATACCTCATCCCATACATCATCCCATACATCATCCCATACCTCATCCCATACATCATCCCATTGAGGAAGTCATGCTCGATCATGCTCGATTCCCTAGTACACTGACCGTCGTTTCTGAATTCCTTTTGATTCGTGTAACGCCTTACCCTCGCATGCCTGCCGCCAACACACATGCCCACCAACACTCATGCCTACCTTCCTAATTGTTTCCCTCCACTCTCTCCCCCTCCCCCCTCCCCCTCCTCGCCCTCACCCCCCCCTCCCCCTCGTCCTTGATGGGTAGTTAATGGTGGCAGCAGAGGGACCCTGCATGCTCTCCCCCAACCCCACCTTCCCTCCTATCTCCTCTCACCTGCTTCTACCAGCCACCTCCTCATGGTGGCATGCCGTGGGGGGAGGGCGACTCAGGGGAGGTAATATCTGGGGCATGGGCAGAACCAAGATGCTGGTGTGTCGGTATTTGGCACTCCAGATCGGAGTGTCTTCAGATTTGGAATTTCGTGCTTGTGAGCAGCCATGGTTTTGAACTCAAGCAAGAATTTATAGTGGTGGAACAGCTGTGCACTGCACCTCATTGCATACCTCATCCCATACCTCATCCCACACCTCTTCTCATACCTTATCCCATACATCACATGACCTTTCCTGCACCTCATCTCATACCTCATCTCGTGTTATGCATCGCACTGTTTTGTTGATTCTTAATTACTTTCGCTTCTTTCAGTGCTTTCTGTTTCCTACACTCATGCCCGCCCATCTCTCAGTCACAGCATAGTCCCCTCGAGTGCAGAGTGGTGCAAATGGGTGCCACACACCAGCAGAAACTGAGTCACTAGTAATCAGCCACCTAAGGGGTACATTGAGTGGGTGGAGTGTGGCTGCAGTGAGGACGTCTACCATGAAGTCTGGTGTTTTGCGTACGGTATATCAACCATGAGTTCTGAAGCAGATAAGGCACTGCGAGAGCTGGAAGTGACACATACGGTAGGAGGGCGAGCTGGTTGCAATGCAATGCAACGATTTAGGAAGACCCGGATTCAATCGAAATTGAAATTGTGATCTTCTGCTTGCCTCCTTCATGGCAGCGAATGGGCCATGTGGGTGGGTGCTGCAGCAGACTGCATGACTTAGACCCTTCCTATGTGTAAACAGCTCCATTGTTGCTTCACCTCTGCACTCCGTTCCCATGGATCATGCAGTGCCCTGCCACCCAGCAAAAGGTATTGTAGCAAGCACTGCACAGCACATGTGTACATGCATAGCCTAGACTTTGATGCAGATACCGTAAGATGTGAACTTTTTCATGTGTATACAATACGGTAAGACTGGGGCATTTTCAGTCGGAAAAGCGATAAAAGTGAGGTCTATTCTAGCTTGCAGGCAACACCAGGCCAGCAAGACTAGTTGAACGTCACCCATTATTGCAGATGTAAGGCACAAGTTCAGAACCATAAGCCTCCCTCAGCAGTGCACAGGCAGAGGCTCATACAGCCACCAACTTGCACACATCCACACTCCGAGCCTACAAGCCTTTCCTCATCATCATCACTTATGTCCCTTTCCCTCATCATTACTCCCCACCAACCTACCCCCCCTATCTGCAAGCACATATCCTCATTGCACACCCAGTTCCCTAGCAGCAGCAGCAGCAGTAGTGCCTTACAAGCTCCATCATACACACTATACCCTCTCCTCTGTGAATCTGTACACCCTGCTGCACCCAAACCGCCAGTCATGTCTTATGCAGCTCCCCTCAGCAGCCATGCGAGACATTTCTCAACCCCCCTGATCTCAACCTTCGCCCACCTCTGCTGCTGCTGCCACTGCTGCTGCCACTGCTGCTGCCACTGCTGCTGCTGCCACTGCTGCTGTTGCCACTGCTGCTGCCACTGCTGCTGCTGCCACTGCTGCTGCTGCTGGCACTGCTACTGCCACTGCTGCTATGCCAACTATGCTCGCCTCCCTCATTGCTCTCTTGCGTGCCCTTGTCCCCAGCTTCCCTATCTCACCTCCTCTTCCCCTCCTGCTCCACCAAACCTCTCCTCTCCCCACCCCTTCTCCTTCCCCACCTGCCCTGCTTTTAACCGTTCCATTATAAGCTATGCCATGCAGGCAATTCCTGTGCAGCCTCCCCTCATGCACACAGTGGACTCTTGCCCAACCAGGCCTGCACTTGCTTCTGCCCAACAGCAAGGCACGACCATTTCCAAACACTCTGCAGCATGCAAGTTGAACCACCTTTCCATGCCTCACTCCTGTGCATGCATGCCTCCCCTCCTCAGTCGTCCGTATCAACACACAATTACATCCTCCTCACCTCGAGTCTCATCACTCCCCTCCACCCTACACGCCAATCCGCCTGCGCACGTCATCGATCTTAAGGTGACCCTTTTCTGGGGTATAGGGAGTTGTGAGCTTGGTGAGGGCAGTCAGCTGCTGCAGCCCATCATCCGTGACTGCCGTGCCATCCACCTGAAGGTCCTCAAGCCCACCATGCCCGCATCCAACACACCCTTGCGGTTGGAAAGGCTTAGCACTTTGAGAGAAGAGAGACCCGTCAGCTGCTGCAGCCCATCGTCCGTGACTGGCACCTCATTTAGCCAAAGTGTATGAAGTCGTGTCAGGCTTCCTACCTCCACCATGCCAGCAGTTGTCACACCATGGTTAAAAGAAAGGGCCAGCTCTTTAAGGGAGGAGAGAGCTGTTAGTTGCTGCAGCCCATCATCCATGACTGCCTTCTGATGTATCCAAAGTTTCTCAAGGGCTGTCAGCCTTCCCACCTCCACCATGCCAGCAGATGTCACACTTCGAGAGACGAGAGATTGGTCAATTGGTGCAGACCAGCATCCGTAACTGCCATCTCATCCAACTTAAGTACTTCAAGGCTTGTCAGCCTTCCCACATGCGTGAGGCCAGCACTTGTGACACCCTCACATTCGGAAAGGTATAGCAGTCTGAGAGTGGATAGAGCTGTAAGTCGCTGCAGCCCAGCATCTACAATCGCGGTACCATCCAGTCAAAGTTATTCCAGTCCTATCAGCCTTCCCACGTCTTTCATACCAGCACTTGTCACACCCTCGCATTTGACAAGGCTCAGCAATTTCAGAGTGGAAAGGCACGTGAGTTGCTGCCGACCAGCGCCTGAGACTGCTGATCCGTCCAGCACAAGTTCCTCAAGCCCTAGCAGCTTTCCCACCTCCACCATGCCAGCAGACATCACCTTGGTCTCCCAGAGACAGAGCTCCTTGAGACTGGTCAAGGACCCAATGCCTTCCAAGGCGACGTCTGAGACGTCTGTGCCGCTGAGGTTTACGAACTCCAGCTGTGGCAGCCTGTAGAGGTGCTTGATGCCCTCTGCACTGAAGCCTGAGCTAGAAGCCCATTCAACGCTCGTCAAGTGGGTCATGGTGGACACATGGCCCAGCATGGCGTAGAGTTTTGTCAGGTCCGAGTTGGCATTCTGTGATGCTGCCTTCATTGCCTGGGGAAAATGGGTGGAAAGGGAAAAGGTAAACATGGCAAAAGGAAGGGATGAACACATTGACAAGAACAAACAAGCAAGCAATGCACGCCCAGCGAGGCAAATCACTTAAAACTCACCTCCCATGCAGCCTTTCGATCGCCTTTACTCCGCCTAATTTCCACCTCAACATTCAACTTCAGGCTTTGTGTCTTCCGCCCTTTTTAACAAGCTGCCGATTCCTCCATGGTACTTGGCCGATCCATCTCTTGCACCTCCCTCCTCTCCTCCTCCCGTGCAAACTCCTCTGTCCCTTCTTGCTTTCTCTTTTTACTCTTCCCATTAAGCCCCTTCACACCCGATGCCCTACCACGCTCAGCCAACTCCCCCTTCACCGCTCTCACCTCCCCCTTCACCACTCCCAACTCCCACTTCACCACTCCCAATTCCCATCGTCCCATCCTTGTCCGTCCACCTCCCACCTCCTCTGCTGCCTCACCCTCGTCCTCCTCCTCCTCATCATCCTCCTTTGCAAGATTGTGATGTGATAACCACGTTTTGGGACCAATGGGAGAGGGCACCCAGCGTGATTGCTTGGCGATGTGCTTTTGACGGTCGTGGAGTTCATTCCACGTATTTCTTTTGAATGCTAGAAAAGAAGCACATACTGTTCACATGTCTGGCTTCCAAAACAATAATCCACATGACCTTATGATAAGAACCGGGTCTTATAAAAGGCAATTTTTAGTGTTACGATATGGAATTGTTCAATAACATTTCTAAAATAACGAATCCTTAATGCGAAGATGACTGCAGCGAGGACAAAGACCGAGCGACGCGGACAGTTATCGACGACGGTTGAAAGCAGAATGAACTCAAAGTGCAAGCGCAGGAAATGCATTCAAATAGTTACAGTGGCGCGTATTTTTATCGAACCGCACGGTTGGCATACCCGATGTAGGTTATCCCTAAGGGGAATGTACCCCCTTGTAGCACATGGCTAGCTAGGACCTTTCGTATTCCCTTGCGTTCCTATATAGACCCTTGTACCGCATTGTTATGATAACTTCTATCGAGATGCAAATCTCCTTCTGACAGGGTCCGTACCCGACATTCACTAGCAATCTTCCACTACTACAAGACTCCCGATCAACTTGAGATGATCCTACAACTTTACTTCAGATTCTTCGCATCACCACACTGAGTCAAATCCGAATCCAAGGTGGCGTCTGGTGCGCGCTCCTGCCGAAACATGGCTAGAGGATCTCGTGGGCAGGTGACTCCTACAGCCGAAGCTCCTGCCAACCCAACCACGAACTTTGCGGCAAATACCACCGACAGTAATGCGCTGCTCAAGCAACTTATTCAGCGCATCACCACTCTGGAATCCGGAATTCAGCAAATGAAGAACGGAATCACTGGAACCTCGCAGCAACCTGAACAAACAGCTGCTCCCAACAAGGAACCAGCTCCAACCACATTCGACCTCGGGTCGAATTTTGCTACTCCAACCACTTCACGCCCAGGTGACGAAGCCATGCTTACAGCCCAGAACAAGTACAAGCACCGCCTTCAACGGTCGGGATTTTTACATTTGGAGTTTGAGCTTGAATTGCTCCTCCAAAGTGCACATATCTTCTGCTTCTTCGTCGGAAGTTACCCAGGCCCGTAAGCGACACCGTTGAATCAAAGACCCTACACTACAACGACTCGCTCATGGCGTACAGTATCCTGCTCCGTAATATGTTGCCAGCCGAACAACTTGGCATACGCCCATTCAAAAACAATTCAGCCCCCGCAATGACCGCCTGGAGTTACCTCATCAAAACCTATTAGCCTAAGGATTCCGTATTCTCCAGCAGCTCTTAGAGGTCAAAATGACACTCCGCGAAAAGGCAAATGCCTACATCAATAGATGCCGCAACATCTGCCACTAGCTGCAGAAGCTAGGAAACACGATTCCTGATGATATGTTTGTCACCATTGCCCTCCAAGGATAAGGACCTCAGTAATCCGTGCAAGGCCTTACTCCGCCAACAAGGCACCGTCTCTGAAGCGCATCACTG